TATACTTACCAGAATAAGTCTCTTGACTGAATTCCATAGAGTTGGAAGCGGCTTGCCCCGAACCACCTCACACTCTGCTTCCACTCGCAAACTGTTATATCTCACTACAACTGTCGGCAACTCTACACCAACCCTGCAAGAATCAAATTAATGAAAGTACCAACCAGTTAGCAGATCCTCAAAAAGAGACTCGTGAACAAGTAGTATGTCCGTACACACAATAAAGAGACGAAAATGATGAACCTAGAGCACATATGTGGATGGATAATCAATTTGCAAGAAAAATGAGTGTTGTGACAAGGTGAAAATTTATGCATGGCCTTCTTTGCTCGACAGAGAGAATTCGGAACATCAGTTCGATTGAATTTTATCAAGAAGTGAGAATGCAGACAATGACTAAGTACATAGAGGTGCATGTGCACTCAAATCCAGTGCAGAACTATAGGGAGGACTCTATCAGTACATCGCGCAAAGAGGACTTACTTATCTTTCCTCCTCCTCATTTTCTGCAGTAGCTGAAGGTTGTCATCCTCGACATTTTTGATGAGTTTTTCAACGAACATACGTCGTTCTAGCGCACCAAGCTGAGTAACGTCAACTAACCTTTTCCCTTGGATGTCAACTTTTTTGGTTCCGATATTTTCATCAACTAGAGATGTTCTCAACCTCCGAAATGCAGGCAGTCTATCAATTTGAGCCCACTCTGAGACACATTCATCACCAGCATTATCATCCTTCACAGATGACAACCCTGAATCGTTTATGAAACTGGAGGAAGGGCGCGCGGAAGATGATTTCCAACTTTTTCCTGTCTGTACCAGCTCAATTTTCGGCGACTCTATCTCAACATTTCCAACCGATTGATCCATACTCCACAACCAAGTAGAGACTAAATCGAATGGTTGAACAAGAATAGAAGGTAGGCACGCAAACTTTATATATAGAGATGCAGGGGCGGAACTATTGTGGGACCAGAGGGGGCCGGGCCCCACCCACTTTTTAAACAAGTATTAGATGTTATTTTGAAGAAAATTACTATAATATTGTATTTTTATATATGATTTAATCGAGGTAAATTTCAAATGATTGCACATAAAGTCTATATTTTTTTTTCCAAATACGCTCATCAACAAGTAACAAATGGGTCTCATAAATTCACATATTATTGTTATATTATACCAAAAATGATCGGCTTGGATATTACAGGACATGAGAATACAAATGATATATCAATGCATCGAAATCCTGAATCCGTCACTGTATAGATGTGCAGGCCTGTGCTGACAATTGACAAGACTCAAGAGAAAGCAAAGTGACGATAAAATAAAAAAAAAAAACCAAGATTAATTTAGATGATCATGTACCTAAGATCCCACATGATATGCATATGGTTGACTATTATGGAGTATATTTACTAAGCCATCAAAGGTGATGTGGACCAAGATACAGATGATAACAGTAGGAAATCTCTTTCCCTTTCATTTTTATATCAGGAAGATATATATGAATATATAAACTTAATTTACAATTTTCTTTTCACAAAAAGGCAAAAAGCAAGAAAGTTATACTTTAAATTGCACATATATGGTCTACAATATATGTACCAAAAAGGCAAAAAAAATAAGTTTTTGAGCCATCTATGCAAAGTGAAAGGATACGTATAACATATAGTGAGTTCTTGTAAACTTAAATTTTTTTGTTTGTTTTGTGTGTTTTAGTTCGTATTTTTTGATTTTTTTTGGTGAGATTTGCATTATATTTTTGAGTATTGCTATTGGTACCGATGGTACCGCAGGGAAAAAGCACCGACGGCCGATCCGAGCCGTCCAAAAAAATTTTAAAAAAAAAACCGAGTGGGCCTTCGTGAGAATCAACAGCATCCGAGATGTGTAGGGTGCTTGATCCGAGCACCCCTTTTTACGTATATACACAAAAAAGGGGTGCTCGGATCAAACACCTTACACACTTCGGATGCCTTTGATTCTCGCGTAGGCCCACTTGGTTTTTTTTTAAAAATTTTGAACGGCTCAGATCGGTAGTCCGGTGGCCATCGGTGCTTTTTCCCTACGGTACCATCGGTACCAATATTATTTTCGTATATTTTTTTGTTTAATTATCCGTCTCGACGAGAGGAGTCTATAAAGTAAAAAATTATGACCAAAAAAGCAAAAAAAACCATTCACTAAAACCAAAAAAAAGTATTAAACATCTGTCTTAAAAACAATTGACGCAAACAAATTTGTTTAGATTCCATTTTTAACAAGAGTCCTGCTATACGTACCGACAGCCTCCATTCCAGAATCGTACCAACGGCTATATATGCGAAAATGGGGTGTTTGGATTGAGCATCCTACATGCATCGGATGTCGTTGATTCCCACGTGGACCCCCTTGTTTTTTTTTTTTTTTTTTTTAAGAATTTTTGGACGGCTCAGATCGGCCATCCGGTAACCGGAGGAGGCCCGGCGACGCCGTCGGTACGATTTCGGGATGGACGCCGTTGGTACCAATATCAACAAAACCTGGCCCCACTTTTAATTCTGGTTAAGACCTCCTTTCCGTATATGGTAAATGTAATAAAAGACTACCAAAGATTTCCAAAAGCTACTCCAATCAACTCTACAACCTCATAACTTTTATAGGCATTCGCCGTAGATAACATCTTCCCAAAGTACTCTTTACTGAATCTAATTCGCAACCTACCGTCATAAAAAGGTGTTTGAGTATGCTTGGATGACGAGCATATCAAGGTGACAAAAAAAGAAAATTTCGAGAAAATCAAGGTTTTCCTGCTTGGTTCGTCGTTGGGATATCGTAAATGAGGCGATAAATTTCTTACGTGACGTTGTGATATATATATGTATATGCATCAAAGAAAATGAGAGATTCATCCTAATCCACCCCGGTTCCTACTTAATTATAGGGTCTCTATTTACTATTGGCCGGTCCTAACAAATTCTACCAAGATGCCGGCTTGTTTTCGTCTAAGAGGTTGTTGTTGTTGTGAGATTCTGAAGTTATATGCTTGTAATCTCTAGACCTCGTCACTGTCTCTGGTCTTCTTCTTTTCTTTTTTTTTACAAACGTGAGAGGTACTGCAACGGCACTTACATAACGAATTCATTACAGATAACTTGAATAAAGTCAAACTAATCATCTAACTGATACGTAACGGGAAAGAACGAGTCGATTGATAACTTTCATCCCTAGCCTAAGCATTACCTGACGCACCTTCTGCTGAGCAGAAAATTCATATATCCTAGAGCAGTCTCAAAAAGAGATACATTGTTAGCCAAGAAAAAAAGACAACTAGAACCCAGACGATTAAATGAACTTCGACCAGAAATGAACACACTAATGAATTTCTGGCAACCACCAATAGATTCATACTAATCTTCTCGAGCCTGAACAGTAAACAAATCACCCAAAAACAAACTTTATTACTCTCACAAGGAAAAAAAAAAACTCCCACAAGGAGAGACAAAACTCTCCCAGATCTTGCTCTAAATCTAGCTGGCCCAAAACCGCCGAACGGATCGCAACCCTCACTGCTTCCACTGCTTCTGCCACAAGGGCTCCGATGACGGGTTACATGCGGATAAACGGCTCCGATGATAGCGGAGCCCGCCAAACAGAGAGGGTCAGATCTGAGAGAGAAGAAAACAAAAAGAAAAAAACCATAGGGAAGAGGGGGAAGAAAGAGGAGAGCGGATGGACGAGGAGGAGGAGCCCGGGGAGGAGGGAGAGGGGCACCTCCCCCCCCGGAGAATAACTAGGCGGTTGTGGCTTCTCAAAATCGCCTAAGAGCTCTCAAAACCCTAGATGATTTTTTCTCTTCCACTTTTCACTATCTGTATTTGAGATAGTCTTTGATTGTATGCATTTTCGTATCCTACCATTTTGGAGGGGAAAAAAAAAAAACTACACTCATTGGACCAAGATTCAGATGATAACATAAAGAAAACTTTTTTCCCGCTTTAATTTGTGGAGAATTCAGGGTTAATGTCTAATTTGGTAGAAAACTTGTAGATACTATATTCTATCATTTTTTAATATATATATCTTTTTAATAAGGCTTAAAATTTGTGTGTGAACATGTGTGTGTATATGTGTGTATATATATTTATGTTATATTATAATTATAACAATATAATTCCCTATAATTGTTGGGTCTATAATTTTTTCCAGCCCCACAGAATGTATTGATTCTCCTTTATCAGCCCCACAGAATGTAGTGTTCAACCAAATTAGCTTTAAGGACAACAAACCATGAATTTCAAAATTACAACATATCAATTTTGATATCTCATGTGTTCGAGCCAGCTTGAGCCACCTCAATTAATCCTATGAGACGAATTCTACGGTCCACTTGCGATGATCCCAAAGTTAGAACAAAGCTCTGTATGAATTTAACTCCGGAGTAGTTAATAGCGCTAAACAGGTTCCATAGCGCTGGCAACAACCGACGCCATTTACCGCGACACTGCCTTCAACCCCACCCGTGTCCCCCCTTTCTCTCTATTACCGTAATGATATGAACTTGATATAAATAAATAAATAAAACATTTGTCTCAATCCGTCAATGTCAAAATCAAATGCTCGCCAATCAAAAACTCAAACACGCAAACTTGTTGGGACATCTAGGGGTAGGGGTTGTTATCATGCATAAACTGCGGGCACATACGATGTGTGTATAATATTTTTGTAATTTCGAGGTACCTAATCTCAACCCCTAGTCAAAATAGAGTTGGGGAGGCTTATAATATGTATCCCGTGAGTCAAAAAAAATAAAGAAAAGCATTTACTGATGGGGCGCCGGCGGGTGTCTCCGGCAACTTCTAGTAGCTATTTGTATTCAAGTTGTTTCCACAAACCTAAAAGTTGTAGAAAACGTGTTGGGTGTTTGTGAGAGAAAATGTGTCGGATGTTTTAGTTTAGTGAAAACATCTTAACTTTTGACTAAAAAATTAGTTTAGTATGAACAACTTCACCAGAGGCACACACTCAGGGGTTGCCCCAGTGGTAAGGGCGAATGACTGACTTTGGGAGAAGTCCCATTGGTCAGGGGTTCGATTCCCTACCGGGTGAGTACCCTGATGGTAAATGGGGGGCCGTGACTGGTGTGGCCGCGCTAGTTCTCCCGAGATTTGGATTGCGCAGTCGGGTCCAATTGTGGCTCGGCTGTAGGGCTGTTCCTTGGTTATAAAAAAAAAAATTCACCAAAGCCAATTAAGTTATTGTGCAAAAAATGAAACAGGGTCTGGGTGCATTATTGCCTATTGTCGGATACAAGAGAAATCCATGTGGGAAGCGGTTGAAACCGCTTGAGCCTTTTGGTTTTTTTTTTTTTGTCAACATTGTATATATGAGCGAGAGTTAGTGGGAGTGTTAAAGTTAACACAGGGGGTTCAAAAACTATCTATAGCCCTGGCCCCTAAAGCCTCGCCCCCGGTGGGACTCAAACCCTGGTTACCACTGGGGGAGGGAAGTGAGCAACTAACTTCACTAGAAATAGTTCTCGGCTTTTGGTATCCCGTAAAGTTGAGTTTCTGCCAAAATTTGTTGACTTCATGCTAATGGCAATAGTCAAATTGTTTCTGCTAAATGGTACTTTAGTTAAAATGTGAAAAGAATGACCTGCTTAAAAATTTGCAAAAATATGAGCTTTTAGTTCAACGTAAATGATGAAACCGTCATACCTAAAAAAAAAAATCGAACCCTTCTTCGACCAACTTAAGATCATCGATCGTTAATCCAATTCTCTGATTCCCCCAACTACAATTGCAGAATCATGGATTGTTGTTCGCGTGTGTGGTGTTGAAGGCCAGTCTTTCTGGATTTTTAAGATCCAAGATAGGGTGTTTGATGGGTCTTTGTTCAGTTGTTTTGTTGGGTCTTTGTTCGTTGCTCCCTATTAGAACAAGTAACCTCAATTCATTTCTCATGATAATCTCGGTGAAAGCTCGTTTGAGATCGATGCGATTGGCAAATAAAGCTTAAGAAATTTTTTGGGGTTCTTCCTGGCCGGCCCAATTTTGTTTCCGCATATCCGTCCAGCCCCACCCCGAGTAACACCCTTTCCACCCAAACCCCATTTCAAGTGATGTACCAAAAATACCCCACCTTTATTACTGGTGTGCATATCAACGGCCATGGCGTCGGCAGCTCCTATCATCACCGCCTTGGCCCACCGCCCCGAGCTCCTAATCCGGTGCCGCACCACCAACGCCGCCCCGCGCACACCGTTGCGGTACACACCACCACCTTCCCATCACGGTGGACAAATCGAGGTCGAGGAACAACGAGAGGCCGAGGACGAGTGATGGTTTTCTATTTTATTATGGGTGACAATTACTTGAAGCCGTTCGTGATACCATACCTGAACCGAAAGTAACCATAACAGATCAGACGCCAGAGGACGAGTGCCTTATTTTGGCAAGCGACGGGCTGTGGGACGTGGTGTCGAACGCTTGCAGCGTCGCTCGGATGTGCTTACAGGCGCAGAAGCTGCCGTCGCCGCCTTAGTCGCCGGGGAGTGAGGTGAATCTGGCCTCCGTCTCCGGGAGAGCTCCAACAAGGCTCAACGCTTCGATTTTGCTGACCTTGGCTAGGTACAGTGCGAACAATGTGAGCAGCTAACCGTAAAGTCCAATTTCTCTCATAGTATTTCTGATTTTACTACTTTTTTTTTTTTGTAATAAATGAGCTAATTTTTTTTTTTTTCTCATCTATTGATTTTTTCTTTAATATCATTTGCATTTGGATGTGAATTTCTTTTCAGAATTTACACCAAGAATTAACACCTCAAAGAATTTTGGATGTGAATTTTTCAAAAGAGGTGGGAATTCTGGGGGGTGTGAATTCTTTAAAGGGATGTGAATTCTCTGCAAATAAGTGTGAATTCTGAAAAGATGTGTTAATTCTGCATAGGGGTGTAAATTCTGAAAAGATGTGTGAATTCTACACAGAAATGTGACTTTTGAAAAGAGGTGTGAATTCTGCACAGAGGTGGTGTGAATTCTAAATTAAGATTTCTGAATTAAGATCTTAGAAAGCTCAATACAATCCCCAAGAATGTTGTACTTTTAGTTTTTTTTTTCTTTTTGTCATTTTTAACTTACTTTATTAAATATCATGTTAATTTACAGGTGTGAATTGTGTATTTTTTGGTATAAATTGATATGTGAATTTCGTAAAGGTGTGTGAATTTTGCAAATGGTGTACTGGGGCCAAATTCACACACTCAAGAATTCACACTAATAATTTACCTAGAATTTTGAGGGCGTGAATAGTGCAAAGGGGAGTGAATTCTTGCAAATGAATGTCAATTTGGGTGAGTGAATTCTTGCAAATGGGTATGAATTCTGCAAAGGAGAATGATAGTTAAAATGAGATGTGAATTCTGCAAAGGGGTATGAATTCTAGAAGGTGTGAATTCTTGGGGTGTGAATTCCATGGGATATGAATTCTGGAAGGTGTGAATTCTTGAGGTGTGAATTCTGTTGGATGTGAATTCTATGGATGTGAGGGTTGTAAATTCTAGGAGTGTTGATAAGTGATAAGGGTGAGCGATTCCCTGTAAGATCCAAATTCGCTGACGAGAACTTCTTTTAAAAAAAACACCGGCACCGGGGATTTGGTTTGGTCTCTGGTCCAAGTTCGCCGACGAAAGCTAAAGTAAAAACACGACGACGAGAACTTGATTATAGATTTTTGTTGAGTCTGGTCTCTTTTTTTTTCCCCCCTTACCTTGTACAGTAGTGCCTTTTTTTAAGTTTTTTCAATTTGAGTTTTCATTCTCGTTAATTTCTTTTGTTTATTTTCAAAGCCAATTTGTTTTTTAATTTGAGTGTTATGGTTTTGTTTGAATTACAAATTTTGTAAGTTGTTAAAACAGGCGTGAATTCTTTATTTGGAGGTGTGAATTCAGAAAAATGGTGTGAATTTTGCAATGGATGTGGATTCTGAGGGATGTGAATTCTGAGGGTATGAATAGTGCAAATGGGGCCTAAATTCTGCAAAAAAAAAAAAAAAATTTGTGAATTTTAAGGGTGTGAATTCCGCAAAGGTGTGAATTTTACAAAGGGGTGTGAATTCTCGGAGGTGTGAATTCTCGGCGGTGTGAATTCTCGAGAGTGTGAATTCTTGGGCGTGTGAATTCTGGGAGGTGTGAATTCTTGAAGGTGTGAATTCTTGAGGTATGAAAAGTGATAGGGGCAAAATAGTAAAAGCATCTTTAAAAAGGGTCTAAATGGGATAACATTTTAAAAAAGGATTTGCATGGAACTCCATTTAAAATTTGGGACCGGCTAGGAATTTTCCCAATTTTTTTTAGAGCTTCTCTACTTTTTTAAGCTTCAACAACTCAGTACTTGACGTGCATGTGTATGTCATGTGGCTAGTGTTGGCCTAATAGCGGAAGTCATACGAGACAAATAAAAAATAGCAATAGTGGTAATTATGATGAAAGCAAATAGTATTTGTCACTTAAGACTTTCGGAAAGTCTACGGTTCCCGATCCAAAATCCCGATCGGAATCCCGACGCCCACTCCGGCCATCGGATCAGCCGTCCAAAAATTTTAAAACAAAAAAACCTAGTGGGCCAGCGCGGGAGTGTGTAGATAGCCGATCCAAACAATCCATTTTTGTGTTTGGATCGGCCACCTACACATGTCGGATGCCATTGATTCCCGCGATGGCCCACTCGGTTTTTTTTTAAAGAATATTTGGACGGCTCGGATCGGCCGTCCGGTGGCCGGAGTGGGCCCGGCGGGGCGTCGGGATTCCTCCTGTTAGGAACTGTAGCCTATCTGAGTAAGACTTTAGGCTGCATTATTTAACTTTTCGTAACTTTTTTATTTAGCTTTTCGTCATAATTTTTGGAATTAATCGTTTGTCTCGACGAAACGAATCGAAAAAGTATAAAGTTATAGACCGATGTTGAAAGAATTCAAACGAGACGGTACTTTAGACAAATAAGACAGTTATTTGATACTTTTCCGACTTTAGTGAACTTTTTTTTTGCTTTCGATTATAATTTTGTACTTTTTAGACTCCTCATCGAGACGGGTGATTAGTCCAGAAAATATCATGCCAATCTAACAAAAAAAATAAAGAAACGACGAACAAAACACACAAAACGAAGAAGAAAATTAAATTAAAAAGAATGCACCTCATGATGAAAGCAAATAATAGGAGCCGGGTAAGAGACGTCTCACGTCTTTTCAAAAAACCGTACTCCATATATATTTCATAATGGCAGAACAATCGGGGAATCAATTGTTATTCGATTATTTGACCAAAATAGCACATTAGATTCGTAGTCATAGTCCTCAATCTCTCTCCCGTTTCGATTATCCAGTCAAATTTTATCTTTCAGAATTGATTCTGCAGACGAAATCAATTTACGTAACGATCGTTTAATCATAGTAAGTTTGATTACGTACACTGGATTCTCGTTACCCAAACCCGTTTAATGATAGTAAGTTTGATTACGTACACTGGATTCTCGTTACCCGAACCCAATTCGCCATCTCCACGACCTTTATCGCTGGATAACGCACCAGTCTCCGTTTCTTCCTCGAGTCTGTTCTTTACGGTGCAAGTTTTTTCGTGTTTTGTTTTGTTTTTTGAGGTTGGTGTCTTGCCGACTCTTGCCTCTGGTTTTCTGCTTGTTTTTTCAGTTGGATTCTGATGCATCAGTTGTGTTTTGTAGGGTTTTTCGACGATTTTCCGCCATGATCATAAACTTGTCAAATTCACATTCAAGTTTACACTCTCTCACTCCCCCTCAATCTCTATCTCTCTATCTTCCTTTCATCTGCTGTAATGTAAGAAATAACCATAAAACCATATCGATGTAAAGTCATGGAGGGATTTATATCTGTTCATTTTAAGCATACAAGACATATGGGTTCGATCTCAACATTCATCTCTTTTGGAAGTTCAAATTTCCTATGCAGTATGCAAACAGAGAAGCAAATACAACGGGGTAAGTGAATAGCATAACACCAACCGCGGGCAAATCATCATGGCTATATCCGAAGTAATCTCTCAAAAAGGCCGATACAGTTTTAGTTTCACCAAA